TATAACTAAATATGGGCATGAATATGTGTTCAGGACAGGACTCTTATCAAGTGTGTAAGTTTGGGGCAGATCGGGCATTGTTTGCCTAAGTTACAGCAACTTCCTGTTTCATGGCGAAACATCAAAATTTGTCATGCCGCCAGGGACACGCCCTTTGGCGAAAACTCAAGATCTTCGCAATTTAGCGTCGCAAAGGCCTTATGATTACACAAACCAAATCTGAAGATGAATATATAACTATATTAATTAACATGAACAATAATTATATAGCATTTATTAATGCTTGTTAATAAGTTCAAAACTAAAACATTATTAAATTGTAAAGTTTTATGTTAACATTAATTAATGCACTGTGAATTAACAAACATTAATAAATGCTGTAAACATATATTGTTCATTGTTAGTTCATGTTAGTTAAAGCATTTACTAATGTTAACAAATTAGATATTATTGTAAAGTGTTATTATTTATAAGCATTTTTTAAAATGATTTTATTGATCTATAAGCATTTGTGAAATATTTTTGCCTGCATTACAGCTTAGTGTTCATCTGTTTGCTGAACTGTTTGACAGTTGTTTCCTACGAATGATTTGTTCCCCCCCCACACACACATAGAGGTAGAGTGAGATCATCAGATGTCTGATAGTTTTTAAATTTTCTGTTTTGTAAATTCATGAAACTTAACCATATTTCCTCAGAATGACTTGTTCTCTGTATGTAAACAGTTTTAAAGTGTTTGGAAGTTGCATTTGAAATCTTTATCTTTTTTTACTGTCACTTTAATAAATCACCATGGCAATTTAGCATCTTTAGTATATTGGCATCATGTAGACAAAGTTTGGTGTGAATTGCTTGTTTCTCCTGGACGGAGTATGCAAAATTCCACTGCCTGATTTTTCCAAAAATCCACATTCAAAATAGCTGACTTCCTGTTGGTCGTAGCTAATGATTGGAAATTAGAAAGTTGTCCGGCTTGATGATAATTTGTTGAGATAGTGAATTGGTGGGTTTTCGTTAAATGTGAGCCAAAATCATCACAATTAAAAGAACCAAAGACTTAAACTACTTCAGTCTGTGTGCATTGAATTTTTTAATACACGAGTTTCACAATTTCAGTTGAATTACTGAAATAAATAACTTTTCCACGACATTCTAATTTGAGACGCACCTGTATGTCCCAAGTTTGGTGACTGTAGTTAAAACTAACCACCAAGCTATAGAGTGCCTCATCCATGCCCTTTTATGAGCTTTTGCCAGTGTCTATCATTAATACTGATATGTTTGTTGTTTCATGAAATTCTAAGCATGTTTTCTGCCTCAAAATCCCCGGAAAAGAATATTCAAGTTTGATACGTTGCCATGGTAACGTATTTTAGATATCAATAATCCCTTCACAGTTTTACATTGGCCGTGTTTTGACATTATTCTGATGAAGTTTGAAGCAAATAAAGTAAAAATAAGATGCTGAATTCAAAGCATTTTGAAAATCACACACTTCCTGCTGCCAACTGGTGACGCTATAACTTTGACTCCTAATAGTCACATCTATGCAATCGGCATCATACAACGAACAAACCACTAAAGTTTGATCAAAATCAGATAATGTATGTGGTTGTTATTAGACGCTTCCTGTTTCTTATTTCTCACTATAACTTCATCGCCTCGCCATGGGCAAACCATTCGAGATATCAAAAATCCTTTCGCAATTTAGCATCTCCAATGTCTTGAGATCATGTTCAACAAGTTTAGTGGCAACTGGGCAAAAGTATATAAAATTCCACAGCATGCGCTTTTTACACAGACCTGAATAGCCAACTTCCTGTTGGGTGGAGCCTATGACATGCAGTGCGAAAGTTGCTCTGCTCAATGAGATTTATATGTGTACCGAGTTTCATATGAATACCTGCAAGTATGTGTGAGATATACATCAAGATTTCTGACTGTGTTCCAGGGGGTGTCGTAGAGCCCCTGTGCTACGCCCGGGTCCTAGCCTCCGCGGCGTCCTAATGGCCCCAGATTCCAACGTGTGTGCAAATTTTCAAGGGTTTTTGAGTATGTTAAGGCCCCCAAAAACCCCCGGAAGTTTGAAAAAAAAATCCTTAGGGGATCAGTAGGGCTCTGCGCCTTAGTGGCTTGGGCCCTAATAATAATAAACGGAGCAATTCCAATAGGGTCCTCGCACCTCGGCGCTCGGGCCCTAATAAGAAACGGAGCAATTGCAAAAAAGTCCTTGCACCGGTGCTCGGGCCCTAATAAGAAACGGAGCAATTCCAATAGGGTCTTCACACCAGTGCTCGGGCCCTAATTAATGCATACTCCTCCTAGGAGAATCGTGCAATTCACACCAAACTTTGTCAACATGATGCCAAGGCCCTGAAGATTCTAAATTGCAAACGGATTTTGGATATCTTGAACAGTGTTGTCATGGCGATTTATTAAAAATAACAGTAAAAAAGATAACAGTAATTTTCTTATATCTTTAAAGTCCATTATCCAAACTCTTCAAAATAAATTTCATATGGAGAACAAGTCATTCTGAGGAAACATGCTTAGTTTCATAAATTTAAAATGCTCAGGGGCCAACAGAAAATTAAAAACGTTTCAGACATTTCAGCTGACAGATGAAGGCTGTAATACTATGGTTGTCCACTAGATGGAGGGATTAGGATTAGAAATCTTTTAGGCCTAATCTTTTTCAGCTCAGTCTCCATCTATTAGAATGACAAATAAATGCATAGAATCAGTTGATATGTACTGTACTGTCACTATACCTTTTCATAATTATTATAGAAATCCTTATAGAGCATTAAAATCATAAAAAAAAATCTTATAGATAATTAAAAGTTTTATATATCCTGCCCTCTCTCACTAATATGATAATACATTTTATAAGCCTGATCCTTATTCTGATACTGCTCAGTTCAATTAGTTAGATTGACAAAGAAATACATAAATTAAAATGAACTCTACTGGTAATATGGTTTTATATAATTATTTCACAAATGCTTATGGATAATTAAACATTTTGGTAACACTTTACAATAAGGTCTCATTTGTTAACATTAGTTAAAGGATTAGTTAACATCCAGAATAATAATTTCCTGATAATTTACTCACCCTCATGCTCATGTCTTTCTTTCTTCAGCCAAAAAGAAGTTAAGGTTTTTGAGAAAAACATTCCAGGATTTTTCTCCATATAATAGACTTCAACCAAGAGAGTGTCAACAAACGCCATCCCCCAAAATGCCAAGAATACCTTACCAAAAAGGCAGTCCTTTATTAGGGAAGGGGAGAAAAAGCAGGCTAAGTGCCTGACCCCTGACGCAGGCCAGCTGAATATAGCCAGGGACTGGGAAATGCGAGTCGACTTAATCCACACACTCACTTTCCCATTTGAAATTGCAGTCACCAAACTGCGCCCAGACCTGGTTCTCTGACCCAATTCCAGTAGGATTGTCATAATAGTCGAACTGACAGTCCCTTGGGAAGAGGCCATTAACGAGGCCTTTGAAAGGAAGAAGCTGCGATATGCCAACTTGGCAGCTGAGGCAGAGGAGCGGGGCTGGACAGTGAAAGTATACCCAGTGGAAGTGGGCTGCAGGGGCTTTGTGGCTAGTTCCACTATAAGGCTGCTGAAGGAGTCAGGCATCAGAGGACTGGTCCAGTGGAGGATAGTCAGGGAACTGGCCACTGTCGCTGAAAGAAGCAGCCACTCGCTGTGGCTGAAGTGGATGGGCACAGTGTGGGCTGCCAAATGACCATGTAACAAGGTAACACACACCCGGGACTGATCAGCCTGGCGTGGGCCTGCCTCAGCTGAGGGTGTCTTGTGATAAAGGGCCAAAACACCTAATGAGGCAGGGGTACACAACTGATGATGTGTTGCATTGGTAGAAACACCATACAAAGGTCATTGGCAACATCACCTCAACAAAAGGCATCTTTCACCCAGGCTACAACATGAAAGATAAGTACACATGTACAGCATAACATATCATCAAAACGTCAAGGAGTCCCACCCGATGACAGCAGTGAAGATTGTACTGTCTTCATCTATCCATCTTACCATAGTAGTCCTTTTTCTTATTGTTGCCCAGTCACGCATAAAGCAATTGTAAATTCACGACTGATTTTTGGGTATTGAGGCAAGAACCACAGACATGTATTAGGCCATGATCCTGGATTCTTGCTGAACCAAAATCAGAGCATAACAATTGCTGCGTCTCTCTGTGTTTTGCTTACAGCGAAGGAGAATATGTTCTATGGTGTGGCTAAATGGTGCTGAATATTGGGATCATAATACCTAGTCCTATTATGCAAACAATGGGACCTAACAAGCTGAATGTCCAAATTGCAGTTTCAGTGCAGCTTCAATGGGCTTTACACGATCCCAGCCAATGAATAAGGGTCTTATCTAGCAAAACGATAGGTCATTTTCTAAAAAAAACAAACAAACAAAAAAAACCTTTTATATACTTTTTAACCATAAATGCTCATCTTGAATGATTAATTATCAATTGTTAAATTAACATTAAATTCAGATTGTGTAGTAAGCTAGCAAATATTATCTTGTTACACTATCATTGACCCAAAAGTGCTTTGAGGTGATGTCAGTTTTAAATTTACAAGTAATCAGCACCTTACATTATTATGGCTTAACTGTTACATGTTAGTACCCATGTTAGTTGCTGTACCCATGTTAGGGTCCAAAGCTCAATGTGGGAAGTGGTAATAAAAGGTAATTTATTATTTTAATGTTTTATTTTTTTATTATGTCTCATTTAGATGTGCTGTGTTCTTTGTCATATCAGACACAAAAATGGCGGCAAGCATAGCGGCATTGACGTCTTCGGTACCCCTGAATTGTACATGAATAAAAAAAAAAAGTGTTTGCCTCCTTTGACCGCATGTCTGAAAAGAATTAGCAGCAGCTTGAATCTCTTTGGTGTTTTATGGTTCATCAAATTTTATGAGTCTTTCTGTTGATGTGTTTGGTTTAGGATGAGGAAGAGGAGATTAAACTTGAGATTAACATGCTGAAGAAATACTCCCACCACAGAAACATTGCCACATACTATGGTGCTTTTATCAAGAAGAGTCCTCCTGGACATGATGACCAGCTATGGGTGGGTATCTGAACATCTATCATGTTTTTCACTGCCTCACTGTCTAGTTAAATAAAGTGCATTTCAGTGATGTACTGTAGCATTAAAAATATCAACTAGATAAAAAAAAAAGTTTGTCAAGACAGAAAAGCCTGACCAGAAAGTTTGAAGCAGTTTTAAAAGATTGAAGGGTTTAAGGACATGCATTCTTTCAGACAGATAGCTGTGTGGTTGCTATGAGTTTGCTACAGTTCATAGGATGATATCGAAAGACTATTAGCCAGTCTGTGTCAAAAGAGCCCACACCCATGATTCACCAATGTTTTTATGTTGGGAGATGGCAGGCTCATTTTCCGATACGGATGCTAAATTTGTATAGAAGCAGTAGCAGCATGTGAGATGATGATGATGATGATGATGATAATAATAATAATAATAAGTTTAAATGCAACAAAAGTATTTAAACTTTTTAAGACCTATTTTGTTGTTGTTTTGCCCCCTTTGATTTTTCTGTCTGCTTCTTTGTCTATGCAGTTGGTCATGGAGTTTTGTGGTGCTGGCTCTATAACAGACCTTGTTAAGAACACCAAAGGCAACAGTTTGAAAGAAGACTGGATTGCATACATCTCCAGAGAGATTCTGAGAGTGAGTGACCGCAAAAGCTCTCCATTTACACTCTTTCTCAGGACTTTCTATTTTCATAGAAATATCTCCAGTCTCTTCCGTTTCTGTTCACTGAATTCTTTTATTCAAAGTTTGTTCTCAAGGGTGGAAATCTGTGTTATTACCATAACTTTTACATCTCAAGTTTAATGTAGGGTTATTTTTTCTTTTCAGGGTCTGGCCCATTTGCATGCCCACCATGTCATCCATCGTGACATCAAGGGTCAGAATGTGCTGTTAACAGAGAATGCAGAGGTGAAACTGGGTGAGTCACATTGTCTTTTATTTTCCTAAAATAAATAAATGAAATACTTTTTACTTGCATCCCTTTTACTTTACATCAAAAACTGACATAATTTTAGAAATTGTATTTAAAAAAATCAGAAAATTAGATTTCTCAATTAATGACCCCTTTACCTCAGATGACCAACATCAACAGATTTGGGTCTAATTAGAGCCTTTATTTTTAAAGGTTTGCAAGCACAGCTACAGATGTCAGTCTTTAGTTTTCTTGTATGTAATTAAAAAAATTGCTAATAGCTATAATATCATTACTTGCCATTTCATTTCTGTTTTAATCACATCATTGTGTCCTATTTTACAGTTGACTTTGGTGTGAGCGCTCAGTTGGACAGGACAGTTGGCAGGAGAAACACTTTCATTGGCACTCCTTATTGGATGGCGCCAGAGGTCATTGCCTGTGATGAGAACCCAGAAGCGACATATGACTACAGAGTAAGAGCCTGTCTTTGATCATCTTACACTGTTGCAATATAGTCCTTCTTAATATACTCCTAAATGTTTTGCTCTAAAGTATTTGTGACCCTGGACCACAAAACCAGTCTTAACCTCCTGAGACCCTGCATCCTCATATGAGGACGTTGTAGTTTAGTGAATTTCTCTGAGACTATACATGCCACAGTTTTAAGTCTGGATGTCCTGTACAGAGCACATTCAGGACTTTTCAGAGATACTAAATGTTTGGATGTTTCACCATGACCACTCCCTCTCCTTGGTCTTCAAAAATGTCTGATATTAATTTAGTGACACTCTTATGGAAATATGATAATATTTTGTAATTATCATTTAAATCTGACTAATTTTTAAACTCTGTGTCAACATCTCAGGAAAATGTTATGGGGTTTCAAATCAAAATATGACTTTCTGTTACGAAACAGGACGTTGATTTCATATATGTCCTCATATGAGGACACCGGGACTAAAAGCATGTTTAATTACGTATTTTGGGAGACACAACAAATTAATAGGGAAAGAAAATATATTTCAATATTCCTATGAAATATTATATATTATTATGAAAATCTTGTCAATTATTACTCCCATTATTACACTTCTTTTTTCATTACATGTTGCCCCAAAAATACATTAATATACAAATTAGATTTAGTTTATAGATGCATTATATATAACAAGAAAACCTGTTTATGGCCATTTTACACACATTTTGCATGAAGAAAAATGGTATATCAAATCATTCTGTTATATCATAGTTGAGAATTATCTTTATACAAAGTTTGGTTTAAAAAAATAAAATCCTGAAAACTAAAAATGTATGGGTGATTTAAAAAAAAATCTATTGTTTTTGCCTATGCATGAGCATTCATGTCTTTTTCTTTTTTTAAAGAAATTTGAGTCCCGATGTCCTCTACCAAGGACGTAGCATATCTTATGAATTAAATATTATTATTATTTATTTATTTTTTTTACTTTTTTTTTAATGCGCTACATGAAAAAATACAAATTTTTTCCTAAAATGTTTTGCCGGGTCTTAAGAGGTTAAGTCGCTGGGGTATATTTGTAGCAATAGCCAAAAATACATTGCATGGGTCAAAATTATTGATTTTTCTTTTATGCCAAAAATCATTAGGATATCAAGTAAAGATCATGTTCCATGAAGGTATTTTGTAAATTTCCTACTGTAAATATATTAACTTAATTTTTGATTAGTAATATACATAGCTAAGAACTTCATTTGGACAACTTTAAAGGCGATTTTCTCAGTATTTAGATTTTTTTGCACCCTCAGATTCCAGATATTCAAATAGTTGTATCTCGGCCAAATATTGTCCTATCCTAACAAACCATACATCAATGGAAAGCTTATTTATTCAATAAATGCTTTCAGATGATGTATAAATCTCAATTTCGAAAAATGGACCCTTATGACTGGTTTTGTGGTCCAGGGTCACATTTCACAAAGCATTTTAGTGGTAAAACCAGCTCTTAAATCTGTGATCAGTTAGGGGTACTCAAGAGGACTCCTAAATCACTAAAGACCAAATCCTAAAATGGCCTGTTGCTGGCAATCAGCCTAATTTAGAAATGATAATTTCCCTTTAACTTAACTATGTCCTTCTTTTCATGTATAAGTTGGTCAAGAAGTTACAGCTGTTCTTGCTTCTAGTTTGGTTTGCTTTTACTATTGCAAAACATCTTACTATCAGCCATGATTGTACTAGTCTGTTAATTAAAAGGCTGCTTATATGCATAGGCACTAATTGTTTACAAGATGCAGAAATGTAAGAGGCTGACAATTAGCTGAACATATACTTGTTTAATTAGTGACTAAAGTGTGATTCGTTTGACTAGTGTGATTGCTTTGTACCGTGCCCGAATGCCATTCACTGAACCGTGCCCTGGCCCGTTTGAACAGGTGTGCTCGGGCGTGCTATGCATATATTGTGATTGCTAACTGTTCCGGAGCACGGAACAGCTACTAATTTTGTGTGTGCTACGGTCATCATTACGACAACAAACTTCTGCTATTACTACTCGGATAGTACACTTTGAAATTAATTTGAGTACATTTAGGTTTACAATGGGTCTGATTCTCAACTTGCTGATGAACAGTAATTGTTGTTTGCGAGTAAAGGTCCGCCGGTCACACTATACTTTTTTTTTCTCCATTGACTTCCATTCATATGCATGAGAACAAGAAAGAGCAGAAACAAAAGCTCATCATGTGAAGTTTTTTCACATTTCCAGAGTTCCAAAGTTCAAATTTGGTGTGACCAACAGAAGATCTATACGTCACAGCATGACCTTTAGCTAAATTAAAAGAACATAAATTTAAAATTGCAGCGCTGCAAGAAAGGGGAGCAGATTGTTTTTACGTCTTGGATTTATTATTATTTGTTATGTTGTTATGTGGTACCAGCAGCTATCACTCTGCAGCTCTCACCTGGTTGCCCACTGAAGCTAAGCAGGGATGAGCCTGGTCAGTACCTGGATGGTAGACCTCTTGGGAAAATGAGGTTGCAGCTGGAAGAGGTGCTAGTGAGGACAGTAGGGGGTGCTCACCCTGTGGTCTGTGTTGGTCCTAGTGCCCCAGTATAGTGACGGGGATGCTATACTGTCAAAAATCACCGTCCTTCGGATGAGACAATTAATCCGAGGTCCTGACTCTCTGTGGTCATAAAAAATCCCAGGATGTCTTTCGAAAAGAGTATGAGGAGATCCTCCCTCACAATGTAAAGCACTTTGAGTGCCTAGAAAAGCGCTATATAAATTAAACAAATAATTATTATTATTATTATTATTATTATTATGTGTTGAATTTAAGTTTTTAAAAAGATGCTGCAGAGTGTGATGTCATATCACAACTGTTGCTGCATCCAAAGAAGTTTTGCATGCTCAAAATGTGAAAGCTGCCAATTCCTCCATCAGCGTCATTTGCCTCCGTAATAATGTTCTGATACTTGCAACACAATTAAATGAAAATCCCTACCAGGCAACCGTGCTAAGTATAAATATGCACGTAAGCCTTGTTCAGACTGGCAGTCCAAATCTGATTTTTGTGCATATCCAAAGGGAATCCGATCATATTTAGCTAGTGTGAAAGCCAGTTTTTAAAAATACATAGTTTTTTCAAATACGTTTCAAGCTACATATGTGGTTTGAATTCCTACTCAAATCATGTATCTGTAATCAAATAAATTGAACTCTTACCTAAATTTCTTTTTCCAAACAAAGTGCTGCACAACTTTTCTGTTTACTGTTCAAATCAAAACATGGAGGAAAATTGGTTTTCTTTAAAAAACAACAAAAAAAGTATTTTAATAATTAATTATCACTTTGAGAAGTACATTCTACTGTACAATAGTAGTAATATAGAGTGTGTGCATGTGATATATGATGATAGTTAGTAGATAAAACTGTGGCATTCATTCATTTAGAGCTCAGACGCACAGACCATGCAAACTGCATATTTAAATATTCTTTTGCACTTTAATATTCATAATATTTCAATGTATAAACCCTAGTGTGCTGCTGCAATATTGAGACCCTTCTTTCTCTCTCTCTCCCTTTTTCCCTTTCTCCAGAGTGACCTGTGGTCATGTGGTATCACTGCTATAGAAATGGGTGAAGGAGCTCCTCGTAAGTATCCACACGTTTCCTGGTCTAGTCTGTCCTCTCAGTCATTGACTTAGTCGTTGAATTCCAGTACAAATGACTAATTACTCACCAAGACATCAGTTGACTAATAGTATAAGTGGTATTACATATAGTATAATGTTGTAATTTAAAGGTCACATATTTTACACCTTTCTGGAGTTTTATTTTAGGTTTTGATGTCCTTAAGAATATATATTTGCGGTATAAGTACCAAAAACCAGGCCCGTAACCAGCTATGAGGCCGCTGAAGTCCGGATCTCGGTAAATTTTTCATGTTCAAAAATAAAATGTGCTCTTTGAATGACTAATTTGCTGTTAAACTCCTCATATGAATGAATGCATGACATGTATAGTTCAGTTTAGACAGTTTGCAAGAATGTTTGAAAATGTTCGCTGCGAGACGCTTGCGGAGTGAACGAGGCTTGAGTGAGTTGTGAGTGAGGGTGCGGGCACAGCCTCTGTGTTGCCAGATCCAGCTATTATAAGCATTTTTGGACTTGTCTTTTCCACTTAATTTAACACTAGAAAGTTAATAAAGTAGGAAGTTGCCGTTTAGAGTCAGCGATATCTTTATCTTATTTGCAAAAATTGGAAATAATTTCAGTTTATTTTTATTTATTTTTAGTTTTTTGTTTGTTTTAGTATCAATAGCTGGCAACACTGCATCGCCGGCGCTTAAACTGAAAGCAATCAAAAAAGCCCATGGACAGGTTCGGTAAGGGAAACGCAAAAATTATCATGATATTATCTGTCATAAACATTATCAACGCTGTCAAAAACAGTAGCATTTAACACTAGTACACACAGATCTGTAGAACAAGTAGGTTACAGAATGAAATTAAATACGCAAAAACTAGCCATTAAGTATAGTTAAATTTTCACAAATCATGCTATAAACTTTCATAAGAACACTAGAAAAAGTTATTGTAGTTATGTATTGCTGCAATAAACAACTGATAAAATTATCCACCCTTAAATATAGTAAAGTATTAACAAATTTTGATGCAATAAATAGGGTATGATTTAAAAATAATCATCCCTTCAAAACAGAGAAAACATCTTTCACAAACATCTACATGTATGTCTCCTTTAAAGTGTTTATAGTGTATATGAGTTGTATTTGTAGGGGTTATTATAACACAAATCTTTAACCCCCCCCGGACCTCACTAATTTTCAAAGCCTGGGTACGGCCATGCCAAAGACCATCTCAATATATTTTTACAGCTGCTCTCTCAGGATCTCTGCTAAGAACGGGTAAATTTTGGCCCTCTCATGAGCCTCTCTTCTGATTGGCCTGTTGTTTTCTGAGTGACGCACTTCCAGGCCAACCACAGGTAACTAGGGTCATGTATGCTGTAGCCTGCTGTGGCTTGGTGATACTCACAAGTAAGGTAAATGGAAACACCGGTAATGATGGTCACTGCTGAAGGAAATGTTGTCCTCCGGCCTTACATGTTTGAGCCGAACTCAGACCCTGAATCGGCGACGACAAGGGCCAACCAACCACCTCCTCAAACGCGCGTACAACAGGATGTTTCAGAATGGTAATTAATGTCTATAATTTCAGATTATGCTGGCTTCATAATGTAAAATAAAATGTGTGAGAAGTTTACTTACGGGTTGCGTATTTGAGGTCGAACCCAACAATGAAGGGACTGCAGCATCTTTGATGAGTAGCTTCTTTGAAAAACCGGCATTGAACTGTGCCTGATTGACGAAGCAGTCACTTGTGAAATGTGCAGAACAGATGGTTAGGTTCGACCTAAATTGCTGTGTTATTTCTGAATAAATGAACATTAGCCACTGGTCTCTTATATTAATGTTGTTCGGAAGCCTGTGGAATGATGTAGTTTCCTGACATCCATCGACTGAACAGTGTTTTCTCGACATGTTTCCGTGTTGTTGTTACTCAGCAATGGCATGGACGCGATGTTGTCTGGTGGGACGGTGGGCAGTGCTCGGGGTGGTGACTGAAGTCAGTCACTGAGTAGGTCTGACGTCACATTTTTACATAAGTCACAACTGCTCGTGAAAAGGCACAGCTACTTTATGCAGGCTGTGTGCATTTGACTGTGGATTGACTATTTTGAAACTTAGGGTTAGGGTTAGTTATGAAAAAAAGCTTTTGACAATATGGGACCTTTAACAGTATGACGGTATATATTGTGACAATGGTATAAAGGGTCTATTGCTAGAGATTTTGCTATATCGTTTATTTCTTATGTAAATGTATCTGCATAGCACAGTGCTACTAAAGTTACACGTAAAGAAACATGCATGAATGAGAAAATAAAGAGCAGGACGTGCTTGAGCTTAAAGTTTGCTTGTATCTTTTTGATTGAGATTTTTGATTTGTAATTTTGTTCTATTGTATTTGTCCTATTGTTTGTAATTTACTACGTAGTTCTTATTTTTAAAAATAAAATAATAATATTGAAATGTATACACTGAACAAAATTATAAACGCAACACTTGTTTTTGCCCCCATTTTTCATGAGCTGAACTCAAAAGATCTAAGACTTTTTCTATGTACACAAAAGGCCTATTTCTCTCAAATATTGTTCACAAATCTGTCTAAATCTGTGTTAGTGGGCACTTCTCCTTTGCCGAGATAATCCATCCACCTCACAGGTGTGACATATCAAGATGCTGATTAGACAGCATGATTATTGCACAGGTGTGCCTTATGGCCACAATAAAAGGCCACTCTAAAATCAGTGTACATTGTTATTGTAAAAAACTTACAGTAGACAAACACTCCATAAAACAGTTTTGAAAGTTGCTATGAAAATTACATGATCTAGGACCATTATGCAGTGCATGCCATCCTTCACAGTCTTGTTTACATCCTTGTTATATTCAATATGGTGTCTAACCTGACTAAGGTCTAGAAGCACATAAGGGCAGCATGAAAGTATTCCATATGCCTCCAGTGGTTTAATCTGTTTTCTGAAGCAATCCAATTGCTTTTTTGTCACTGGCTTTCATACGTAAACTATACGAGTTCACTCTGTTGCAGGTGTGATTATCCATCCCTTTATCAGTGATTAATTTTCAGTGAAAGTAGCAGCAGAATGGAGATCAGCCACAGATAAAGTGGTGTATGCGAGGATGGCCTATGACCTATCCTGTAAAAAAAAAAAAAAAAGAATGTAATCTTATCTAGTGATCTTATTTTTACAAAAAAAAAAAGTATACTGTTACATCTTTATTAAATGTGTCTGTTACAATTACCTTTTTTGTATTCTGAATGCACTGGTTCAAGTTTTCTGTTTCTCCCCAAGTCTGGCTAAAGCTACACTTAAGTGTGTTTATTTTTGTTATGCTGATGGGCTAATTTTTATTATCTTTTCCCCTGTCTCTTTCTGCAGCTCTGTGTGACATGCATCCAATGCGTGCCCTTTTCCTCATTCCCAGAAATCCTCCTCCACGGCTCAAATCAAAGAAATGGTGAGTCGATGTCCTGAGATTTCTTCTCCATATTTGGCTTTTTTATTTATTTTTACTATTTTTGATACATAAATTCCTCAGTCACACTCGTAACAGAAGAGCCATGATGTCAGATATTACTGGTGATATTATTGGTGATGTCAGATATTACCAAGATTTTTCTGTCACAAAAACCTCTTTTGTAATCCTTCTGTTTTATAATCGCGAAGCCCATTATTCATTTCTTTTTTTGTGTGCAATATTTTCAAGGTAAAATGTGAGTGACACTAAAAGAGCAGATGAATGTGAATCTGGCAGTGTTTTATAACACTGGTTGTTGTACATCAGGGGTGTCAAACTCAATTCCTGGAGGGTCGGAGCCCTGCAGATTTTAGATTCAACCCTAATTAAACACACCCGATCCAACTAATCAAGTCCTTCAGGTATATTTGAAAACTACATGGTATGTGAATTGGAGCAGGATTGGAACAAAACTCTGCAGGGCTCCGGCCCTCCAGGAATTGAGTTTGACACCTCTGTTGTACATAAAGCTGCTGGTCTGAAATGAAATATCTGGTGAGTGGCACTAAAACAATAATGCTCTATCGAATTTGAAAGTCGTGTACCACCTACACTATAGCCTACCCTTAACCTAGCCGATAGCATGAACAAAAACAAACATTAGATAAAAACGCTTTTGCTGAAACAACCATGCCATTTTATTTTGCTTCTACAAGTCTTTGAGCTCTTTTATCAAGACTAGGGGTCGACAGATGTGTTTTTCAAGGCCGATGCCGATTATTACAGATCAAGTAGACGATAACCGATATTTTGAACCGATATATATGTCTGGTGTAAAAATGAAAATTAATGTAAAAATAAAGAATAACAAGGGCTCTGACAAAAACTGCCTCCCCTGGTGTTGGTTGAGTGTAGTACTCCCACAGTAAACTCTTTATTTTAAAGCGTTAAACTCTTTATTTTTGGCAAACAAAGGGTTTATTATTAAAATTAAAACATGGAAGAAATAGCGTATTGTGTGATTCTTTTAAACAAACGTTGTAATAATTGTTGTAGTAGTCAGGGGTTAAAGCAAAAAAAAAAACCTCGGCCAAACTCCATTCCACAGCCATACCTGTCACACACCCAGTTTAAGAGCAGTTTTTTTCTTCTTGTAATTAGGAGCGCTTGTCCTCCTAATTAAAAAATTTAGGAGCACCTTCTGATCAATAATCAAACATTCTGATCAAAAATTTGTCTTCCTAATACGAGGTGACATTTGACTCAGTGACTTACAGGAATATTTTCTTTTTACCTTTGTAATGGCATCCTTTTCATCTGTCAAATTCAAAATTTATGTTTATAAGCTTTTTAAAATGTCTATTAAAATCAAAATAATAAGAAGTAGAATAAGACAAATAAGTTACCAATCATATGAAATTAGTATTAATAAAAAATCTATTTGTACTACAGAGGTGGCAAAAAAAGAACACAAAAGTGGCTTGTAGGTACGTTTTCAGACGTTTAATGAAGCTCAGAGGTAATTAAATTCATAAATTCATGTGGAGATTAATGTTTTAAATATAAAATTTTTAATACAGAAATATTAAATGATTTAAATAACTGAAATTATACCTAAAAATGAAACCGAAACCACCAGCTGGTGGCGGCAAGTCAATGATTTTATCACTGAATCATTCATTCAATTGATTCGTATCAGGATTGATTCAGGATTATTGATTCAGGAATGGCGCAAGTGACTGTCTTTATGAATGGGTAATCATGAATCACTGACTCACTAGATTCGTTCAAAAACGCACTCATTCATGAATGAAACACCGCTGTGTTTGCTTTTAGAGATGCGCAGCGGCTGAACTGTACTTTATTTGGAACTATTTTCGTTGATGAAACAGAGCAAAATCAGGCAGTACTTGTTTATTGAACTGTTGTATTAAATCAATATCACATTTGCAAACTCCTTTAATAATTATTCAAATCTGTCACTCTCCTTATCGCGATCTGTGGGCGCACAGAAAATGAGAGCGTGCGAGTGAGTTCTCAAGACGCAAAAGCACGTGCAAATGATAAACTAGGAACCTGCAGGAATGAGTAGAATTATTATTATTAATAGCCGCAATCCCGTGCCGAAATTCAAGACCTGCTCTGCGTTTTCTGCTAATAACCTGACTGTGAATGATGCGAGCAGCGTTATGTTGTCAGTGAGAAACTGCAGCTGTGGCGGGCAGGATTTTTGGTGTGCTGGTGTTCTGACAAATAATGCTACCTATCAGATTATGCTTCCAACAAATCGGCAGAACACCGGCAGAACAACAACAATGTGCTACATGTTTCTTTTCCCCTCATTTTTTTTTTTCAATAGATGGAAATCCATCGTAGTGATGGAAAACTTTCATCCCTGAGTAGTATTATGTATATCATACTGCACCACAGTAATATATTTCTGATAATTTCAAGCTAACCCGAATTTATATTTTGACGGGTTGCCATGAGGAACTTGTTTCTGTAGGTCTATGTAAATGATATGACGATAGTTTTACTCCAATGAAACTGTCAAATGCTCATGAAGTGACTCTTAGAGAGAGTCAGAGCAGTTCTGGAGATGTTGTTCATGTATTTATGTCCTCATGTAGTGAGATGACAGAAGCTGAAATCACCGCGAGCGTCGCACACTTTGTATGTGTAGAAAACAAAACCGCTGGTCTGTGCCATTTACATACACAGAGACAAGCAGAACATGCTGGATCCATATTTAAACAGTATTTTTGCGGCTGAATATTTACAGATACTAGTCCATATTGCGACTTTATTTAAGTGTACTGACCTACTTTTGATTAATTCATCCAAACTTTGACAAATTCCGTGACATTCCGCGTCATACAGTAAACTCCATTTATATGACTGGATTCCGCATCGCGGAAATCATAGATAATATTGAGGTGTTTTGCAACTTCAGTGTAACGTTAGTGGATTGGGATCTATTGCAACTTAAGCAATGTCTGGTGGTGGGCGGAGACTGCTTTAGGCCACAGAGTGGTGAGTTCTGACAGGCTGCATCAGAGCCAAATAGCGCATTTCAAAATTAAGTCATTTTATCGGCAAATCGGTTTTGAAAATTACCGATACCGATAATCATAAAAATGCTTAACATCGGCGCCAATAATCGGCCAGGCCGATAATCGGTCGACCCCTAATCAAGACTAATGTTTCACAGGAAGTTTACAATGGGCAAGTTTATGTCGTCAGCCTTATATGTTGAGCTAATGAGATGCCAACATCAAAATGTGTTCATGCACTATGGTAAAAGTGTTTTCAGGGCATAGCATTGTATTGTTCAAGGAACCGTGCAAAAATGAGCCTTTATTAGTTAAGAATCCCTTTAATCTTTTGGTTGTCCAAATTAAAGGGTAAGATCACTGATTTTCAGTCAGCTTTGTATTGTTCCAGTGTCGGCAGTATAAGTAAATGAACAATGTGCATAATTTGTCTTTGTTACCTCCACCCAGATATTCCTGTTTATTTGTCAACAAAAGTCTGCTAGATGATGTAAAATGCCACAGTTTACAGGGCTTTTGTTGAAACTGCAGATTGTACTTCTGAATTTTTGTATCTCTGCACTCAGACAGTCTGATCGAGCCCAGTGCATTATGGGTGTTGAAGTTTTCCTACCGATTTTCCCCACAGCCCTTTTTCTCGGATTTCTTTAGTTGTGTAGTGCCGATTAATAAAAAATTGCCTTTAATGAATTACCCCTTTAACAGACCAGTCTCTGCTTTTCTCTGTAATCTTCTATTCCCATTTTCCATAGGTCCAAGAAATTCTTCAGCTTCATTGAAACCTGCCTGGTGAAGAATTACAACCATCGCCCCTCTACAGAGCAACTGTTGAAACATCCTTTCATTAGAGACCAACCTAACGAGAGACATGTCCGCATCCAGCTCAAAGACCACATTGACCGCACTCGTAAGAAGAGAGGAGAGAGAGGTTAGACACTTTAATACAGGGATTCTTAACAGGATATGTTTTTTAAAATAGTAAAACAATTTTTAGTGCGGTGAAAGTGTTTCCTGAAAGTGCTGGATTGATATCAATTTCTTGATTTTTAGGCTTAATTTTGATGAACCAAGATAAATCGACTTAAATCCCAAAACTGATCTTTAAGTCTGTGCAGTTTTCAGTTGATGTGTGAACAAAACTTCACTAAACATTATTTGTAGTGCCTGCAATCCAATAATCACAATAAGCTTTGCACAAAAAGCTTCTTTCTGTTGCTCATACGTGCATGCATCTTTGGATCAGACTGCGTAAACCTTGTTAATTAGCATTGGTTGTAAAACACATAGGCAATACCAATACCACTGTATATAATGTGGTACAAATACATATAAAGGTTGCCAACTCAGTGTAATTATGTTATCAGATTTTTGTGGTGTTTTATTTCACTTTGTAAAGCTGAGTTAACAGAATTTTGCAGGAGTTTTTTTTAAAGCAAATTTAAAATTTATGAGATTAATTTCTCCTTTCAGATGAGACCGAATATGAGTACAGTGGAAGTGAAGAAGAGGGAGAAGAGGCACAAGAGCAGGAAGGAGAGCCCAGGTATCACAAAACTGGCCCAAAAATTTTTTTTGTTCCAAAGTAACACATACTTGGCTTCAGATGTATCTTGAAACTTTCAGCGTATTCCTGGGTGGTTTGTCGCAAGTCTTACTGATGTGTCCCCTCACCCTCAGTTCTATAGTGAATGTGCCTGGTGAATCTACTCTGCGACGTGACTTCATTCGGCTGCAGCAGGAGAATAAAGAGCGTTCAGAGGCACTGAGGAGACAACAGCTCCTCCAGGAACAGCAACTCAGAGAACAAGAGGAATATAAGCGCCAGTTATTGGCTGAGAGACAGAAACGCATTGAACAGCAGAAGGAGCAAAGAAGACGACTTGAGGAGGTTGGTCTCCAATATAAATATTGTGATTTTTGTCTTAATCTGGCTTATACTGTTCTGCATGAATGTGTGTGTGATTATGAGTGATTTTGGAGAAAATGGAAGTGTAGGCGGTTGCGGTGGCATCAAACAACAATACTTTTACATTGTAATGCTCACCCTTATCGGAAGAGGTTACAATTATTAAATGGGGTTCGATTACACTGTGTGAGGTAAAATAAGTGTTTTAAAAGATAAGACAAATGACAAAAGTAGAATGAATAAGTAGTGTATTTAATCCGAGATGAGTGAGATACTGGAATGGTAAGTCCTAAAATAACTCCACAATCCAGTGAGTGCAGTGTTGTTTGGTCAATGAATGAACCTGATTGTTTGACATGAACATTTAAAGACATACACGCATTAAAATGATTAAGAGGATTAAAATGGCTAAGACGCATGTAAAACCATTAAAACTCAAATATAGATATAAAACCATCTTAATATATATTGAACGGTAAAAACATGTTTCTTTGTGTGACAGTGTCACAACATGTGCTGACATATCTTAAACTTTTTTTTGAGGAATTCTGTTTATAATATTGAGTTTGTTCTTAGTGGTCCTGTGCTGCCTATTAATTCAGTTGATTTTAGTATGTCTATACTGGTTAGTGTTGATTGAGTGAACACCACTTAAGTTTAAATGTATAATGATCATAATGCAAGGCAAGCACATTACATGTACTGTATATGACATTTTAGCGGCATTCAGTATGGGATTTGACTGTTTGATGCATAGATAAAGTAGACAATTTCAGATAGATTGCTTATACAGATTTTTACAGGTGTTTGTATCCTGGGGGTTTGTAAGATTAGTAGACTAATAAGTTACAAAATTTTGTTGACATGTTACTCAAATTAGTTGTCACACACATCCCTGTTGTAAACATGAATTTGCAAAGCCCAAAGTAATCAAACTGTCCCCAGAAAAAATAAGAAAAACATGCACAGATTCAGTATTTTCGTTTGGACAACATTCGGTGTAAAAATATGGAAAAAAAGACTCAACTTCTCACAGCAACAAAGACGGGAGCGTGAGATGAGACGGCAGCAGGAGCGGGAGCAGAGACGCAGGGAACAGGAGGACAAGAGACACAAAGAGGAAATGGAACTTAGACGTAAAGAGGAAGAAGAGCGTAGGAGAGCCGAGGAGGAAAAGAGAAGGATTGACCTTGAACAGGTTACTTTATTAGATATCTCACGTTTATAATAACATAGAACTTAAGCTAAACACTTGTTTGACTGTTTGTTTTACAGCAGTTTATCCACCGGCAGCTCGAGGAGGAGCAAAGACATCTTGAAATCCTTCAGCAACAGCTGCTGCAGGAGCAGGCCAAACTACTGGTATTAAATCACTTTGTTTCAGTTGTTTCATTGTTTCAGTCCTTCAGGGGGCATGCTCAGGGTAATGCTGGTTAATGCATGATGATTAAAATCGTGAAATGGCCTTAAGCAATTAATCAAATAAACTGAAAAAGTTATATTTTCTAATACATCATTAGAAACGGAATGGACATACGAGAGCACTGTACTAGCTCGCGGCGCCATCTGATAAAAGACAGATAAAAGGGTTCAAATGGTTCAATTCACCAAATGCGAATAGAATCAGCGCTGAAACATGTTACTCGCCCGGTAACTTTATAAATGGTGGTGAGAATTTGAGATTGCTTAGTACTATCATAAAATTTGCAACGGTTGTGATGTAATTATATAAATATAGGCTATAGTGTGAAGCACTACACACACACAGAGCTTGACATACATGCTCAGGGCAAGTTCTGCAATCCTACTGTATGTGTACAGTATGTTCAGTTGGCTTGTCTGGGGCCAAATTTCTTTTTATTTTTGATGCATTTATATTTTTGACATGCATAAAACAATTTATTTTATTTGGATGAATTTGTTTGTCAGATTTACCGATTGTTATACTATCTCTAGTTCTTTCCTTAGTTTCAGGTAGCCAAAGCTAAGTTAAAGCTTCTGGTTTCAAAGCAGTTGGAGAGTTTTTGACTCTATCAATTTAGCACGAATTTGGCTATATTCCCCAACATCAGCTCTCACTATCTTTGATCACAGGCAGGTGATTTCGTCCAGGAATCGTAAAATCAAAATGCTTAAAAAAAAAAGAGTTTAGAGCATTCATCGGATCTTGCTCTTAGTATAATAATAATTTTATTTCATGTCATATTTGTGATTTTTTTTAAATGTAAAATGAGTTTTGAGCAATAGCTGTTCGTAATGTTCATATAGGCTATTCGTTATGAAAAAAAAATCGTTATCAAGAATAGCTTTATGAAGTTGTTTTAAAAAGTCTTTATAACAAATTTTAAGTAAAAGTTAATAAAATTTAATAAAAAAATAATTCTTGATGATATATTTAAAATGAGAGAAAATCACTGACATATTTAGGCTGTTTTACTAAATATGTTTTACGAATAAAAACATTTAACTTGCAATGTTAACTTATGAAATAAAATAAAGACAAGAAATAAATCACAACAAGATGTGTAATCAAGAAAAATATTTGACAATTACAAAATGAACCTTTGATGTTTGACAGTGAACGCAAAGCGATATAGCCTACAATCGCTGGCGTCGATTGTACGCATCACGTAATTTATGCAGAAACAACAACATTCTAATTTCTGATTGGCTGATAGGTGGCATTTAACTCTGTATAACTTGAGACAGCTATGAACTTTAATTGTCCATTAATTGTATATAGCGGGACATGTTATCCCTTACTTCTCCGTGTGAGAAATACAAGGTGAGAGTGTGTGAACTGGTTGAAATGCGTGTGTCTCACGGTGAATGCGTGAGACTTGAGAGCCCTGCAATACTGTTTTCAGTTTCGATTCACTGCTGTTAGAGTCGCTTTCATTTGCATTTGGGAACACAGCATTCATCATTAGAATAGTTTATAAATCTGTTGTTGTTTACAAAGAGAAGTTTCAGTGTTACATGATCCTTCAGAAATCATTCTAATATGCAGATTTGCTGCTCAAGAAACATTTACTATTTATTGTTATCAATGTTAAAAACTGTTTTTGCTGCTTAACATTTTTGTGCACAAACATTTGTGGTAAGATTAAAAAACATTTTTTTTATTCATCATACATTAAAGTGATAAAGTGAGTGAAGATATTTAAAATGTTACAAAGGATTTATATTTAATAAATGTAATAAATATATTTGATAAATTTGAACTTTCTATTTATCGAAGAATCCTGAAAAATAAAATGTATCACCATTTCCACACAAACGATGAAGCAGCACAACTGTTTTCAACTGATGATGATCAGAAATGTTTCTTGAGCATCAAATCAAATTGTAGTGATTTTTAAATAAGTGCTGGGGGTGTGGCTTTGGAGCATGGTCAGATTTTCCTGATTGTTTTGTCTCTAGCTGATCACATGCCTGAATATAAGACTGTTGGATTTGTATAGATTTAGGATAAAATCAAAGAGTTAAAGTTTTCTATAATTTATGCATGCTGAGGCCACACATACTTCAGGTATTTTTCCACATGGTCAGCTATTGTTATTAAGAGACAATTATGAAGACTAGAGGATATACTGTGTATAGCCAGTAGTAAAATAAGTTGTGTTTTGACATCTTGGAAAAAAACCTTGGTAGCTTGGTCTGAATTTTTAAATACTCCTCCAAGGGATTCGTGCAATTTACACCCAACTTCAACATTATACTAATACACTGAGATGATAAATCTGGAATGGTCTTGCCATGGTAACTTATTAAATCAATGACAAAAAATGAAAACAGGAAGAGGCTCATAAAAGTTTATTCTGTGATTTAGATCAGGAATACATGGGTGGGTCTTGGTCATAGTGCCACCAGCTTGCAGCAATCAGTCAGAATGTGTCAATTACGCATACATTCACATACATTAATGAAATTCGGTAGGCCTACAAAAAGTCTGTTAGAGCTATAGTCGCAATCTGAGTTTTGTGGAGAAAATGTTTGTTTCGCAAAGGAAAAAGTATTTAGAGCACACGAAAATCAATTTTGCATTTAAAATAAGTTTTTGGATGTGTGCAGACCTTCTCTTTTGCGCGTGCAACGTTTCACTAGCTTGCTCCCTTGATGCCCGCCCTCGGTGCTCTCTAAATGCCAACAGCACGCTTGCTCAACACAACCCAGCGTTACAATATGCCATAATTCCAGCCAATCAGAGACGAGGCTGCTAAATTCTGATTGGATGCCTTGACAACCATTCACAACTTTTCTTGCATTATCACAACAGCAGAAGAGGAAAAATAGTGCATGCATAATTATTATGCAAGTTGATATTCTGATTATATTTTTTTCCAAGCACATTTTGCCAATTCCAAACAACATCAATTTTAATAACTACTATTAATCTTGTATTTAATCACTTATAATCTATATATTATTGTTCATGAAGGCTGGAAGTGAAAAACGCCTTATATTCAGGTGTGCATAATTATTAAGTAGGTTATCTTCGACAGATAAAATTTCGAGACGGACTAAAAATGAACTCCCAAAAATTACTGCCAGATTCTGGAAGATAAAACTATATATATATATATATATATATTAGTATAGAATAGTCAAGGGAGCAAGTATAAGTATAGAATCCTAAAAAAAGACCCTTAATAAGAATCACATACTGAAGTGTAGTACAATACTTGAAGACTGATTGCGTTTTTGTCAATGGGCTTTTTGTGTGGGGACAGTCCCTAATTTTAGCAAGCAAACAGTATAGGTATAGCTGGGCTAAACACTGGCCAAATGCCCCATGTTACAGATACAAAGTATTGTCTTCTTAATTTAACACATTTCACTGTAACTTCCACTACTGGTAGTTTCTCCATCATCCATTTTCTCTTTTCCCATGTCTAAAAACATGTTCTCAGGATAAACAGTCATTTTAACCATTTGATGTGGCATACTAGATTTCATCAGTCTCTGTACTGAGCTACACTTCAGTATGTGATTCTTATTAACTAGGGGTAATTTTTTAGGATTCTATACTTAACCTAAGTCTCTGAGAACCTGACACCTTGTACTTCTGGAGACCCCAGGTAGGTTGCAGTTCTGGAAAATGGTGGCGCTGGTTGCTTAGGTAGACTAAATGGTTCCTGGTGATTTCACACCTAATTCTTTACCTTAACTCCTAATTCTTTTGCAGTTAACATGCATCTTTTCTTCACATGTTTTTGAATGACCCTGCTGACCCACTGAGCATTTTGCTGTACAATGATTATACATTAACTTTGCAATTTCTAGTATTGTATTAGTTTTGAATATTTCTCATGGGCATTTAATAATTTTTGACTTTCAGTCTGAGTTAAATCTCTTTTTTGGCTCATTTTATCTAAAAGAAAATCTGCTTAATAATTATGCACACTTGAATATAAGACATTTTTCACTTCCAGCCTTCATGAATAATTATATATCAATTATAAATGATTAAATACAAGATTAATAGTAGTTATTAAGATTGATGTTGTTTGGAATTGGTAAAATGTGCTTGGAAAAAATATCAGAATATCAACTTATGCATGCACTGTATTTTTCCTCTTCTGCTGTCGAGGTAATGTTGTGATTGGTTGTAAAGACAGCCAATCAGAATTTAGCAGCCTCGTCTCTGATTGGCTGGAATTATGGCATATTGTAACGCTGGGTTGTGTTGAGCAAGCGAGCCGTTGGCATTTAGAGAGCACTGAGGGTGGGCATCAGGTGAGCAAGCTAGTGAAATGTTGCACGCGCAAAAGAGAAGGTCTGCACACATCCAAAAACTTATTTTAAATGCAAAATTGATTTTCGTGTGCTCAAAATATTCTTCTTTGCGAGACAAACATTTTCTCCACAAAACTCAGTTCGCGTGCATGCAAAATGCACTTTTGCGTGCTCAAAATATGATCTTCTGCGCGCAGAATTGTGACAGAGATCTAAGCCTATAACTTCCTGTTGGGTTCATGGTATAGCTCTAACAGACTTTCTGTAGCTGTTGTGATGTTCCATGTGCCTACCGAATTTCATTAATGAATGTGAATGTATGCGTCACGTCTGTTGTAATTGACACATTCTGACTGATTGCTGCAAGCTGGTGGCACTATGACCAAGACCCACCCATGTATTCAGACTGAAGTCTGATCTAAATCACACAATAAACTTTTATGAGCCTCTTCCTGTTTTCATTTTTTGTCGTTGACTTAAGTCACCATGGCAAGACCATTCCAGATCGATCATCAGTGTATTAATATAATGTTGAAGTTGGGTGTAAATTGCACGAATCGAATAGAAAACAATATCTTTATCTCTTCGATTTTATCCACTTGTCATGTCTAGCGTAAGACACCATAATGCACAGCTAAATCTATACAAATCCAACAGTCTTATATTCAGGCATGTGATCAGCTATAGACAAAAAAGCAGGAAAATCTGACCATGCCCCCAAGCCACACCCCCAGCACTTATTATTTAAAAATATATATTTTCACATTAAAAGATATATCTTATATTTTAATAATACAAACTATTGTCCTGTAAAAATAAAAAGCAGCATTCAATAATCATGATAATAATAATATAATATAATAATTTTATGAATAGAATTTTATTAAAGTACCTGCCAAAAGTTTGGAAACATTACAATTATTTATGATTTTGAAATATATCTCTTCTGCTCACCAATGCTGTATTTATTTGATCAAAAATAAAGTAAAAACAGCAATATTGTGAAATAATATTACAAATAAAAAATTACATTAATTTTCGGTATCACATGATCTTTCAGAATAACTACAATTTGATTTGATGCTCAAGAAACATTTCTGATTATCAGTTGAAAACCGTTGTGCTGCTTCATATTTTGTGTGGAAATAGTGATACATTTTATTTTTCAGGATTCTTTGATAAATAGAAAGTTCAAATTTATCAAATATATTTATTACATTTATTAAATATAAATCCTTTAACATTTTAAATATCTTCACTCACTTTTCATCACTTTAATGTATGATGAATAAAATGATTAATTTCTCTCTTTTTTAAATCTTACCACAAATGTTTTAAAACACCCCTAAATTGTATTAACTGTGCTGTCAGCAGGCATTTCATAATCTAGAACGACAAAAACATTATTAGTAATTCTGATATAACATGCCAGTTGAGAAATGCAATAAAATACAATGTTTTGTTTGTTATATTTCAATATTCCAGAGAATATTATCCAGTGAATAAACATTATCCAGTGAATTATTCTTCACTCTTTAGCCAATTAAACAGCTTATAAACCTACTAAAACTGTAGTTTAAAATGAAGTTGATATGACTCCTTTCAATTATTTATTTTCTCCATTTGAAAACATTAGACCTTCTACATTTATTTTGCTTATTGTTAATATTAGTGTTGCTGCTGATGCTTTAAATAAATTTTTTTTTTATAGTAATATGACGATTAAATTTAACATGAAAGACTGGTAGTTTTCAGCACTTTTTTTTAAATTTTTTTTTTAAGATGGCTGAAAGGAGGAAAAACCAAAGTGAAGGATGGACTTACTTCACTCAGTCATTTATTTACTTTATAACAGTAAATAAGTATCGGTTCTGCATATCGGTTATCGGGCACATAAACGCAAATAATTGATATCGGTATTTTATTGTTATAAAATATCAATATCGGTCGATCACTAGTTGTAACTCAAACATACAAGGTCCAATCTGCCCCAAACTTCACAAGTTTGATGAGAGTCCTGGCCCAAAGACATTCATGCATTCCACCCATTCATTCTCCAAATGGCTTATCCTCTGTAGAGTTATAGGAGGCCTGAACACATCTACACATGATGCTCTCCCCCAACATGCACTAATGCTGCTTGTAGCAAATTGTTTGCTTATTTTTCATTCACAAGGGTCTTTTCTCCTGTCAATGCATTGCCTTTTTATAGAATATTGAAATGAAGGAATTAGAAAATGCTCTTTCCATGAACTGAACCATGACCTTTTATGAAAGAAAAGTATTGGGTTGTGTCTTGGCAAGCTCTATTTATTATTTATTATCTTTTGTAGTGTATTTATCCTGAAACCTTTAAATTTCTTCTTAAAAAAAAAAACAGTTTAGCAAGTTTAAAATGAATATATGTTGATGTCAGGTAAAGTATTTGGATTATTATACATATATTTTGCCCTAATACAGCTTCCTCTGTTGTATCATTTCCACCTATTTTGTCTCCGTCGGGCAGGCAGTCAAATATTAGCATGATGTCATGAGGAGCATATCCTGACTGCCTAGATAGCAAGCAACCATTGAAACAATGTTAAGTTGATGTTGACGCGTCAACACCAACGACATTTAATTAACATTACAAAGTGGTGTTGGGTTAATATCACTTTTGCACCCACGATTAATGCTGAAAGAAGATTGAGATTTGAACAGAAAATCAATAAAAATGTCATTGAATCAACATTATGAAGTGATGTTGGTTCAATATCACTTTTGTACCTGCAATAAGTTGGTGAGATTAAAAAAAAAATAAAAAATCACTGAAATTATCAAAAATGAATCAATGGTAATGTCAGTTAATCAATGTTACACTATAATGTTGATTCTGCATCACTGCCATTGAATCAATATTGAAATTAACAAAAACTGTCATTGGTAATATCATTTGATCAATGTTTGTTGGAACATTGAAAATACAACTGAAATGTCAACATAAAATAATGTTGCCATCTGATGTACCAAGTTAATGTTGAAACAACATTAATATTTCTGACCATTTCAAAGTTTAGGGAAAACCTTTTCAAACATGAATGACACCTTTCCAGCAGTTGAGTCAATTTATTTTATTTGACAGTTTAACACAATGACAAAAAGTTCTTAAAAAGAGAGAGAGAGAGTGGGGCAAAAAGGACAAAAGCATTACATCCTTTAGAAATTACATTACTTTCAGAAGTCTGATGTCATTACGACAAGTGGTCCAGTGGTTCAAGTTTTCAAAATATGGCTTGCATCAGTCTACTGCCTCTTTTCCTTTGGGTTCTCTGACATCTGAAAAAGAAAATATGATGTTACTTAAGAACAAGTCAATTCAGTTGTCATGCATAGTCACATTCAAAAATATTAATGACAGTTTCTTTAACCTCTCAACTGTCACCCCCCATTTTTGAACGTAGACGTGAAAGTGCATTATTCAAACTTAAATTTTTTAAATTAATGAACACTTTGGAATACAGACCCAAGGTTGGACTCTTTTTAAAGAAGAATACATTTTATTGTAGAAGTGGAATCGTTTCAAAATATGAAAGTATAATTTTACTGTAAAGAAAATGCACTGTAAAAATTTTATATAATATTTTTCATAACAGGTTTTACACAAAAATTGCTATAAAATTAAAGCCGTATGTCTAAGTAAGTTATATTCCAAATTTGAAGTGGATATAAAAAAAATTGAGGTTCCTGTGAGATTGTATTTAGGCCGTTATACCACAAACAACCACCTGGTGACACCCCAACTCCATTGACATTTTTTAAATGGATTTTTCTGTCACAGATGTCTACCTTTCTCTGTCAATATTACTTCTGTCACAAATAATCTTGAGACTCAGACCTTTCCAACCATATGTATTTTTTTCAAGATTATAAAAGTTTTGATTAAAATATTGTTAATACATTTTGTAATATGACACTTGACACCACCCACTTAGGGGGAGGAGACCGCCAAAATATTTTAAAGTATCATTTGCCTGGTAATCGCAATGTCCGATTTCAAAATTGTTTACACAGGATGCATTTTGAGGTTTTAAGCTTTCAAATGATGTCTAACTTAGGGTGATTACTAACATTTTTGATAGAGTAAAAAGGCAATACATTATGTAACAGCTGACACTTAACAGGTTAAAGCAGGAAATTCATCTTATGGTAGGCCTTACTCTTTTTAAATATCACAAAATAGCCATGTCTGTCACTTTCTGAATAATTATGAATGATTGATTACATGTTTAAGCAGTTATCAGGGAGCAGGAGATAAGGTACAGGATAGCTTCAAGTCCCAGGACAGGTGACGATCCTTTCGACTACAACTCAATGTATAAACAAATGTCACCATTATCAGGTGCTACTCATTGTATTTTTTTTTTTAATTGTCCATCCTCATCTGCCTTCACTCCTACTAAAGGAAAGAATGCAAGGTGCTCTGCAAGCATTGCGTAATAGATCAATACATGGGCTATGTGTATATAACTATGATATTCTTGCTCATGTTCATGTCATGAAGAATGTTCATGCACTTCAAGAAATCTGTTAAATATTGTTGGAACTTTCATCAGAAAATTCTTAATAAATATTACTAAAGCAAGATGCATGCATGTTTTAAGAATTTAGAAAAATGAATAGTTTACTTAATGTATCCTATTAGATTCAGTAACAATAAATCAAATGCAAGTAACAAGCACGCAAAACAAAGGAATGGAGAAATAATAAGATAGATGCACCACTGTTTGAAGCCCAGAGAATTCATGCATGTCAGGTGGTTAAACAAACAAGAATTCTGTATAGGATGCACCTTTGTTTTCTTTCTAATAAGGAAGCATCAATTAGATTACTGAGAAGTGCACATGCAGAACCAAAATGGGTGTTTACCAATCAATGTGCATTTTCAAACTACACTTCATGAAGATCCACCCCTAAACCAAGCCCCTAGTCGATTAGAGCAAATCGGCTAAAGCAGTTGAAAATGCCCATCATGGTTTGATACGCCCCACTGATTGAGAGACACCCACTAGTGTTCTGCAGAGATACATGCCTGCATGATCTTGTGCTAATCAACTACAAATCACTGTTAGTTCAATGTCACTGTCTTTACCCACGTGTGCTGTCAACTTTCATCAAAATTTCAATGCTGATCCAACATACTTTAAAAAGTATGAATATCAATCTCAACCAAAATGTTGGTTTGGATAAAAACTTAACATTGTAACAATGTCACCATTGCTATCTGGGTGTTGCCTTGATACCTGCTGATCCTATTTTTGTTTTTTTTAACTCGCCTTGTTTGTCCGTCTCCCAGGCTGATGAGAGGTATCGTAAGAATCTTCAGGGCACCTCTCATGCTGCTCCACCCAAGCAGTCTCCTTTGCCACAAGGATCTGAACTGTACTCCAATGGAAATTCCACTGAGTCCTCAGGCATGCACAGGCCTATGGAACCACAAGTAACCTGAGAGAACTCACTCCTGTTTTTCCTATTTCTCCTCCCCTCTCTGTCTCTCTGTCTCTGTTTAACAATTGTAAGAAAGATATTCAAATTTTTTAAACGTATAAGTGTAGTTGTCGAATCATAAGGGGTACCATTTTAATACCTTTGTCTCAGTTCAGTTACTTTGTGTGTTTGTTTTATACAGCATGTCTTTTTCTTAGGAGTAAACACATCGTCATGGCTAGGGGTGGGAATCTTTAGACACCTCACAATCTGATCCAGTTCCGATTCTGGATTCAATTTGATTCGATTCTATGATTGATCTGCAATTTGAATCCAAAAAGTGAAACTGATTACCCCTTGCCTAACTGCTAGTTGATCAAACCAGTTGTTAAGACAGTCTTAGAATAGTGGCTGTTTATACAACTGGCCCATGTTCTGATTTTGGGTGTTAGCTTACCTAATTTTGTCGCTGGGTGAGGGGGTCTGTTGGATTATTCATTAAATATAACAAATAATTGTTTGTCTGATTGGTCCAGCTGCTACAGTGTGTAATTGGCAGCAAGAAGAATATGACTGTCTCTAGCGCGCACACAAGAGACATTGCACATAAAAAAAAGCTCAGAAACATTTAAAGAGAAAATCACAATGCATCGGGGAATCAGTTTTTTTTTTCTCCCACCCCTAGTAATGCTTACTGTGTCACCTGTGTTCCAGACAAGGTCGGAAGAGGGGACATCCATGTTGAAATGTCCCAATTCAAACATCAGTGAGTTTGAGTCAATCACACGTCATGTTAACATAATGACCACGTGGTCTCGTCAGAAACAGAAAAAAAATTAACATTAAATTTCGTTTTGAAAACGGTTGACGAAAAGCTACAACTATGGTATCATTTTATAATCTTAATGTCTAATGTTTTTAAGTTTGACATAATGTAGTTCCACATATGTTAGTTGGAAGCAGTGACGTCAAATGGCACATCTTGCTGAGGTCGGGGTTGATCGATCTACCCCGATTTCACAGGTTGGATATCCGACTTTAAAGGGGTCATCGGATGCTACATGCACTTTTACAAGTTGTTTGAACTGAAATGTGTGTTGGCAATGTGTGTACTAGTGATGCGCGGATGGCGGTTAAATCCGCGGGCGCTGCGGATAATTCGCGGATCGGGTGAGTCGGGTAATAAGAAAATGCATTCTGATTATTTGAGGGTGGGTCACGGGTGGATAAAATAAATAATTAATGATGCAAGTATTAACTACATTTTCTAAATTATGAACGTGTTTTAAATAGGCTACAGAAATTGAATAAACTAAATTAACATTAAAAGTTATTCAACAAAACATTATTTTGTCAAGAGCAGTAAGGGATTGTCTTTTGTTGTTTGATTAACATTAATAAAAGACGGCACAGCTTATTTCATGGATCCATTACTGATACTCATGCGTTTTATTTTGCAACTGTTTACATTAACTTAAGACAAAACCGACAGTACTTTCTCAATTTGGTACTCGCAATACACGCTTTGGATGTGACTGAGCTTACCGAAGTATCGAATGGCTTGAAAAGACGTGAAAATAATACATTTCTGTGATGATGCAACAATGACCGATTAGGCAATTGACAATTCTGTCAACTGTCCCGAAACGCGAGCTAAAGTCTTCTGTTGCAGCGTGCAGCAGCTCTAGATGCGTCGATGTGAAGTGAAAGTCAAAGAGAGAAGACGCGGTACAGCTGAATCACTTACGCTGTTTTCATCTGATGGTTTGTGTGGATTTATTTACTCATCTAACCTACACGCTATATTGAATAAAGGTTTTGCAGTAATTTCCCTCATTTTAAAGTCGAAAGCTGCGGGAATGAGCAATCCCGTAACAAAATTCACGATCTGATTAAACATAATTCTATTATACAGAGATTTGTGAAATAGATTTTCATGACTTTTCAAAAACTTTGAGTTTATTTATTTTTACAAAACTTTCTAGGCCTGGAAATTGCTGTTTAATGACTTTTCCAGGTTTTTCATGACCGTACGAATCCTGATGTGATGATCGGGTGCGGGTTGGGTGCGGCTATTTAAATCAGACAAAAATACAGGTGCGGGTGGATAATTTATTTGAAGCTGCGGATTCGGGTGACGTTTTAGCTCATCCGCGCATCACTAGTGTGTACACAACCACCCTATAATAAAAATCTACCCAGTGTTTTTTTTTTATCTCGTTAAATCATTTCCCCTTTCTCAAATCGAGCCGATCTCAGATGTCTGTGTGACATCACAAAAACAGGCCCCTCCCACAATAATTTGATTGACAGTAGCGTTTCAGCACAGACTGGACTGGCGTCTTACTTTAGACCTGCCCTGAGTGAGCTGTCATCAGTCCGCCATTGTTTCACTACCGGAGCAAATGTAGATAAGAATGTCTCCTAAGCGATAAATGCGTCTATGTTTGCACAAATCATTCGTGATCCAGCTTCACCAACAGAAGATGTGAGGTTTTTTTAATGAATCTTTTCAAATCTCCTTTCCTAATAATGTGCTAATTAGCAAGTTTCACTATGAATGCATCTAAAGAAAACAGTCCCTCAAAGAGCGGCTCGGAAGAGAGGGGCGGGGTCAGCAGAGCTCATTTGCATTTAAAGGAAAATGCTACAAAACGACTTTCTCTGAAAAAAGCTGTTTTTGACAGGGTAAAAAGGGTGTTGTTTTACACTACCATTGAGAAATTTTAACCAAACTATGTTACAGAATTTTCATTAAGACCCTAAAGAATCATATCAACTTGTGGAAAATGGGCATTCGATGACCCCTTTAAGTGGTGTTCCAGATGTTATTTCAAAGTAGAAAGTGGGAAAAATCTGAATTTCGAGTTGTCTGGAACGCAGCATAAGACTCATGACAAGGCATGTCATGACATGTGAGCAAACCATGTGAATGTGAATGAAACTGAACTGCTCAAAGCTTCTGGGTGACATAACCCTGCTGTCATCTGTGAATTAATAGTTTCTCTCATCTTTCACAGTCTGCATCATCGTTATCATCTGTCTTTGTTTACTCCTTGATTACTTAGTGTGTCTAACCTCCATGTCACTCTTTCCTGTTGTTCTCTCCCCCTCCCCAAAAGGTCCAGTGGTCTCACTTAGCTGCTCTAAAGAGCAACTCATCTGCACCCCCTGTGTCTCACTCCCAGTCCTTCAGTGATCCTGTTCCTAGTTTTGCACAGCTTCATCTTCGCTCTCAGGACTCCTCTCACCAGCACCACCCAGTGCACACTTCATACCCTGACCACTCTCAACATCTTTCTCAATCCAGGGGCCACGAGGCCCCTGAGCAGACCCTTGATGAAGAGGTGCCCCCGAGGGTAAGAAAAGGGACCATTGATTAATTTTTAGAGACATCTGTCTGATACTAAGTGGCACTATGAGTACATTTATGTTTTCACCCATAACTCTGGAATTGTAGAGGCTAAAATCTTGTTTTAATACCTTTAAATGGATAGTTCACCCAAAAAATGAAAATTATGTGATCAGTTACTCACCTTCGTGTCATTCCATGCCCATAAGATTTTTTTTTCCTTTTCAAAAGTCAAATGAAGATATTTTAATTAGGGATGCTCCGATCAGGATTTTTGCAGCCAATACTTAGTACTGATTTCTTGTCATGGTGATCGGCCGATACCGATGCCGATTCTGATGCTTCAAGCTTTATATAGACCGTTTCATCGGGCGCACACGCCTGGCCCAAAGGTAACTTCCGGTCTGTGTTTTTTTTATCAGTCTGGCTATGGCGCCGGCTACAAACGCAGTTAAAGTTAAGGTGATGAGTAGACTGAAGTTGGGCTCAGGGGGTTGTGCTGTGGTATGTGTTTCCCATACATTTATTTGTTTGCGGCGCTCACCACAATATCAAAACTGACTGATTTTTCAAAAGGCTTTGTTGAATAAATATAAGCACGTACTGCACGTTTAAAAATCAAAACGAGGTGCGGGTGTTTTTATATCACTATTGCTGAAGGAAGACTATCTTTCGAAAAATGTCTATGTCATTTTCATTTCATCCTGCATGTATGTTATATGCCTGATAAAGCAGCGTTTGTGAGCTCAGTGCAGCTTTGTGTACAGCAGTTACTGGGGAAACCTCTGTTTTTGTTCCGTCCTTCACGCTGTGACAACTCACAAAAGACTATTTTTAACCAAGCAGTGTGGAGAGCCGCTTCAGAAACATGCCGCGGCTGGCTGATAAACACAAGCACTGACTAGAGCGGCCACGAACAGCTCCGGTGGCCGTGGAGCCGTAACGCGCCGCAGACACGTGCAGTGAGGTGCAGATCAGCTCTAACATCACACAATCTGCTGTGTAGATGAATCATGCAAAAACATACATGACAAACAGCAAATTTTTCATTGTTTCTTGAAACGTCATAGCATTGCCACACCGTCGATGACATGACTGTGGCGCCAAATCATTCATGTCCCCACGCATCATGTACGTCGTCACGCGTTGACGTCATCAAATTGCTATCGGTTTCTGAGATCGGCCAAGTTGGTGAGTACCGATCGAGTCATAAAATATGATTATCGGCCGATCTCCAGCCAATCGATCAGAGCATCCCTAATTTTAATGAAACCTGGCAAATTTTGTCTCTCTCCATTCAAAATCCATTCAACCAAAACTTTCAAGCTTCAAAAAGTTCCTAAAGACATCATAGAAGAATAAATATGAATCGAGTGCTTTAATCCAAGTCTGCTTAAAAGACATGATCACTTTGTATGATGAACATGTTTTATTTACACTTTTATTCACATATAGACAGTATAATAATGGAGGCTCAAATGTGTTTGCTTGATGCACAAGAGCCACCAAGGTTTATTCTCGAAGGTCACACAAGCATGTTTTAGTGTCCGCTAGAACAAATGGGGTTTGTTCTCATGAGTCAAGCAAGTGTGGTTGATCTGCCATTGACCATATTTAATGTGACCGTATGTGCATGATTAATGTTTTTGTGAAAAAAAAAAAACTTTTTACTTTCATGGTCTGTTTACCATGAAATCTGGAAAGTAGGGGTGTCAAAATTAACGCATTAACACATGCGATTAATTCTTTCAGTTTAACACGTTTAAAATATTTATAGCAATTAATGCAGGGTCGGAGCTAAGGTTGGCCACACCACTCACAACTGCTGCTTCTGTTTCTTTTTTTTTCTTGACAAGAATTGCATTTGTTTAGATGCAGAACATCTTTACAACCACATCAAATGGAAGACTTTTCAGATGCACACTCCAACTAGTCGAACATGTGTGGAAAGGGTACACGTGACAAGGGAGCTTCAGTAGGAACAACAGTGAACTGCGGTCAGATGAGATGTTGATCTCAGTAAAAACAAATTTTCCTGTCCTGTCAGCCATTATACTGTGCTCATAGCACGTGCTCTTCAATTGCACACACATATGCTGCGGCGTGCACTGTAGCCTATATCATTTCGTATTAAAGCACAAAAAAAACTACAAGCATGCAATATCGTAGTTATGTCTTCAGTTAAGTCATGGAGTTACTAAAAAGGCAATTAAAGCTGCCTTAAAACTGCATGTAAGTGGTTTCCAAAAGTGTCCTGGAGCACCTCAGCACTGTCTCCTTCATCTAACACACCCTATTCAACTCGTCAGCTCATTAGCAGAGACTTTAAGACTTGAAGTGCGTCAGAAAAGGCAATGAGTAGTGAGAAAATACGATGCTTGTCAGTTCCACATCATGTTCAGCAGCGGCAGCTCTTAAAGCAGCCAAAATAACCTAATAACACAGATGCTGTGATGTCTGTTATTCAAAGAACAAAAAATTAAGAGGAAATCAATAACTTTAGATTAATCTCTATTTAATTTAGAATTTAGTGTTTGATAACTATTCAATTTCTGTACATTTCTTACCTGCTAAAGGGCAGAGGTAGCTAAATATGACATTTATTATAATGGATTTATGTAATGATTGTTTTAAGTTCACTTCAATTAGAAGTTGTTATTTTTTAAAGTCTAATGTTAAAAATGATAGCTCTCAATTATACAGTAATGTTGAATGGCTCTGGTCTATAGTTAAATATTAGGGGGAAAAAAACAATTTCATAGAGACAGTAGTAGTATTGGTATCAGTGATACTTGCCTTCAGTCATAAAAACAAATATTAAAGGGGTCATATGATGCTTTTTTAAAGATCATTATTTTGTGTATTTGGTGTAACAGAATAGGTTGACATGCTTTAATGTTCAAAAAACACATTATTTTTCAAATACTGTTCATTATTGTAGGTCCTCTATGCCCCACCTCTCTCAAACGCTTCGTTTTCTACAAAGTCCCTCCTTCCGACAAGCGCAGTCTGCTCTGATTGGCCGGCTGACCCAGTGCATTGTGTTTGGCCGAACACCGCAAGCACTCGTCGACAATGTAACGCCACTTACCATAATCGCGAGCTTCAGCTTTCAAAGTAAATGTAAAGACAGAGCCTGAAAGGGAAACAGTCTCGTGACAGACACAGTGATGAAACTGGTATGTGTTTGTGATGTGACCCCCTCTCTCTCTCTCTCTCTCTCTCTCTCTCTCGCTCTCTCTCGTGCTCTCTTCTGTCTGTCTCTCTCTCTCTCTCTCTCGCGCTCTCTCTCTCGCTCTCTCGCGCGCTCTCTCTCTCTCGCTCGTGCGCGCACACACACACACGATGACTGATTCAGAAGCACCAGATTGTCATAGCAAAGTCAGAATTACCTCCTCTCCTAGGTTCACGAAACGGACGTCCATAAAATGCATTGCTGTTCTGTTGTAAGTAATCTTAAAGATTCCTAAATGCATCTACTTCCGGAAGGCCAAATAAAGTGCTTTTGCTTTCGCCTAGAAACACACAGCGTCTCCCTGACATGCTGCATCAACACTAACTGCGGTTACTGAAACCACGCCTTCTTTCTTTGCGTGCACATTTGGGCACATTATGCAAATATTTCCACATAGTGAGGTAGATATGGGGGGCCTGTTAGAACGAGCCGTTTTAGGGGGGCGTGGCAGAGTCTTAACTTTGATAAAGAATATCTCTTTGGTTTTGAGACTTTAGTCTTTGCAACTTCAGGGATCTTATCTATGCACAATCAGCTTGTAACACTCCAAAGAGAAAGGAAAACTTGAAATCGCATCATATGAAAATATACTGTATGTTGTTTTAACTTTAATTTGAAGATTGAATGTGAAATTATTGAAATATAAAAGTATATTTAAAAACTTTGTTAGGTGGGATTAATCTCGATTAATTTCAGAAAAATGTGCAATTAATTATTATTATTTTTATTTTTTTATCAATTGACAGCACTACTGGAAACCAAATATAGTTTTAGCATTTTTAACAAAAAATAGATTGTAAAAACCTGATTTAGTTTTACCATAAAATTTTCTTGCCATTAAAATAGCCACAGAATCTGGCATGGTGTTAAAAATAAACAAACCACATTTTCTCCACTTTTTAAAACTGCTTGATCTCTTATAGTGCTACTTGTTTCTATACAAGTAATAATTTGTGCTAGTTGCTTTAAAATCAAATGTAATATAATAATATGTATTTAATATTGACAAGATCCTCTTTTTACTTTCCTGCAAGGTGCCAGTAAGAACAGTGTCCAGATCTCCTGTGTTGTCCCGTCGAGATTCTCCACTACAAGCTGGACAGAGGAATGCTGGAATGTGTGATCTTTAACATAATTTATATGTAGAATATTCACCTCTAACATTACATGTAAAAGTTTATATTTCTCAGGAAAATGTCAGTAATTTTGTCTTTTGACCTCTCTTCCTCTTAGTAACATGGAGCCACGGCTGCGGGTTGAACAGCTCTCATCTAGACCAGGTAGTGGGAGTTCGTCTGGCTCCAGTAACTCCAGCTTTCAGACTGGATCACAGGCCAGCTCAGGGGAGAAGTTCAGGGTCCATTGTGAGTATTTTTATTTATTTATTGTTTTATTAACACACTGACATTCAAACTAATTCAACACTCTTTAGAAGGGGTGTCCAAACCTGTTCCTGGAGGGCCACTGTGAAATAATTATGAATTACACTTTTTTGAAAACTTTTACTATATTACACTATTAGAGCTGCTGAGATTAACTAATCATGAAAAAAAGTATTATATTTTTTATTAAATATTTTATAGCATTATATTTTTAACTACTGCCGCTGCATCAAAGGTTGCAGCTCTGAGCATTGTAGCCGATCACAGTCATGTCTCTTGAGCGCATGAATGCAGTTGTCTCACCACTGCAACTCAATTTTTGCACGCTCACAAATGCTTTGATCATAACTAACACAGTGCAAACACAATGTAAATAAGAGGTTCATTGTGCAGTGTAGACAGTCATAGATAGATATTTGGATCCTCTTTGTACAATTTCTGGGTCACAGCCTTTTTACTTGTTAACAATAATATCTTAAACCCCATCAGGGGTATCCCCCGAATATATAACTTCAAATGACTTGGGAATACGAAGAGTAAAAATACTGGTATTAATAGACCATATACCTTCTCAAAAACGACTCATCTTCGAACACTAACAAAATATATGTGCATGATGTGCTGTGCAGGCAGTCTTTTGCTCATGTATTCATCTCGATTATGTAATAACAACCCGGAAGTTGAAAGTGAGTCGTTTTAACAGCTTGGTTCCAATAAAAGCAGTTTCAGCAAGGATGTTTTGAGTTCTGAAAAGTTCAGTATGTTTTTACATGTCCTCTTATATGTTATAGGTGCAGTGTGTAGATTTTAGCGGCATCTAGCGGTGATGTTGGGAATTGCAATAAACGGATTAGCCCCTGCCCCGCCCCTCCCCTTGAGAAGCTAAAGTTGCCAACACAGGACAAAGATGTAGTCATCTGAGACAGCAGAGAGTAGCCAGTCTAGCGTTGAGGTTTCTTTACAAAGATAAATTATATATAATTAATTATTTAGTAAACTGATATGTTATATATTATGATGGAACTTTTGCAAAAGGCATTTACACTGTGAATGATCAAGTTACGCATACCAACAAACAAGTTACACTCCATTTATGCAAATTCTGAAAGTTACCATTGTTGGTCAGTTGAAAGGCACACGATCCTGTTACATGAAATTACAATCTAAATTAATAATTTTTCTGCCTGATTCATATTTTCGCTTCTTTGATGATGAAGATTGACGCTCTGTCGGCTCTTGTGCAAAATAATACAAGTGGTCCTCTTATTTGTTCAAATATTTCTTACTCTTTTTACTTCTACGAACAACCTCTGCTTCTAATAAACCACACATAGACTACTACTACTACTACTTCGTGTGTATTCAACGTAGTGATGATGCAAGCTGTCTCTAAAACACAAGGAAGAAACGAAGAAGAACAACAGTGACAAAACACGGTCTGTAGAGTAGTTTGTCCGTTTAGGGCTACTGTAGAAACATGGTGGCGTAAAATGGCGACTTACACCGCGGGTCCCCCTCCATGGTTATGTAGATAGAAATGGCTTATTCTAAGGTCATTAAAACATAACGGTGAATTTTGTAAGGTATTTCTACACCACTGAAAATATAGTTTTGTATGTTACATTGCATTTCTGTAAACAGATTCTCAAAAATATTACACATTGCACCTTTAAAAGGGAAAATGCGATTTCTCAATTCATGATCCCTTTTTGATTAAAAATCCCCATAACTTGTTTGATGACATAAAAGGAGTTTTCATTAACTGGTTTCACAGTGATTTGAGGCAGCTTTTATTCTTGCTGACCCAGTCAAGTGATCAAATTACATATTTATTTGCATAACTTCATTCTTACATCTGCCGCTGCCAGTTCTGAGATTCTGTATGTCAGTCTAAAAATTCATAAATCAATAACTGATTTTCAAAATTACAACTTTCACCTGAGATTCCGAGCCAAATTACAGGGGGGGTAAAAATGAATTTAGAAAGATAGCAGCATCAATATGTCTCCAGGAGTAAATGGTTAAATTGTACACATTTTCACTGGTCAAAAACCAAATGTGGGTCACTTTACAATCAGCTGATACTTTTTTTTTTTTTAGAGACATGTCTGAAGAACAAATAATGTTGAAACTAGAAATTTATCTTGTTTCCCTCTATCAAAACAGTTGCATAGAGCAGACCTGTCTGTGTACCTTATTAATTTTTTTCCAAAGTCTGGGTGCCTGCAACTCAAGAAATATGAAAGATATATCGATATCATTTTAAATTCTGGTTCTTAATAAACTTTCCTTTTGTAATCTTAATTTTTAAGGTCTTGCATAGTTCAATCCCAGAGACATGGGGAGCCCAAAAAAGTCATTTTTAATTAATGGATGAAAGCCAAATCTGGTCACTTTGCATACAGCTGATATTTATTGTATTTAAAGAACAATGTCTGAAGAACAAATAATATTGAAAGTGGTATTTGATTCAAACATGTAGCTACAGTACTGCATATTTGAACTCTTGGTAGCTTCAGAAGCTGTTAAAATAAACAAAATCCCTTTTTCAAAATAATCCTGAAACAGATTCAAATATAGAATCTTATGAATAGACTACTGAGAGCAAGTTAATGCACCTCGACTTGACAATTTTAGTGCATTTTTGACCAGGGGGCAGCAAGTATATTTGGCATCAGGCCAAAAACAAAAATTTGCCGCTAAATGGTGGGCCAGAACATAGTCAAAGGATAATTTAAGAAATTAATTGATGATAAAATGCAACTAGAATTTCCTGTGACAGTGTCTTTTGTAACTGGTAGTGAGCTGTTACTCTGTGTTAAATCCTGTAGTTGGACAGTCATTAACAAAAAGCCACATTTGTGTGGCGGTGTCCGTGTTTTACACTGGAAAATTTAATAAAGCAGTGTAGTGACATGTAACCTGGCAAGTATCTTCATTCACCAACTTGCTACACAGACCACCTTGCTAAAACACACATATGTGGGAGATGCGGAATGGATAAAAATAACTTAAAAAATAAAAGAGGCTTGAATAACCCATTAATGGCATGTTTGAGTCATGCTCTTAACAAACTATGTTTTATTTCCTCTTTCCATATTGTGAATAATAAATGTGTATCATTTTAATTTGCTTGTTACACAATGGAGCCTAACTTATTGTAATAATTATTTGACGTAGCCTACTTTTACACTCAGAATTATTCCTTGGCATTCTCACGTACTAAACTGCATTTTTTTTTTATTGTTTGCGTACTGGAGGTACGCTATTACGTCGTGTGCAGAGTGATGTTAACATTCAAGCTAGCTGGTGAAAGAAAATGGCACTATCAAAGAGTCTAAAGAGGAAAGTTGATAGCGAAAATAGGACATACAAAGTCAAAGAATGGAAAGACAACTATATATGTTCATCCTACCTAGTTTTGTAAATGCAAAGCCGGTGTGTCTTATCTGCAACGAACTGTCTGTGGATTAAAGTGACATCCATATCACCCAACATCCAAAAAATCGTGACTGATGGAAGATGCCAGTTTTCACATTAAGTGAGTAGCCTACTAAGCCCGTGTAGTTTAGTTTAGTTTAGTTTAACTTTATTGTCTGTACAGATTTCCTGAACAGAAATTCATCTTTGACACTGGCATAGAAAATACATCCTAACAGATAATACTATACATTCACATATCACATAATAAAAATAAATAAATTAAAAATTAATACAATACAATATGCATATATACATGTGTACACTAACCTACCCATAAAGATGCCTCATGATAATACCTCAATTAAGAATTTGGTTTAAAACAGTCACCGCCAATGGTACAAATGATCTTTTATATAGGTTCTTTTTAGCCAGCAGTATATGCAACCTGCGCCATGAAGGAAGAGCCTCAGAGCAGGAATGAAGTGGATGAGTTTGGTCTGAATATACTGCGATCGCCTTTTTTTCCATAAAGTGTAAAAACAGCTCTTGCATTGTACCGTTTCTGGACGATTATCTTATTTGCTTCATTAATTACTCGTGTCAATTTATTTTTCTGTCTCATTGTTAAATTGCCATACCATGATACAATATTATATGTTAAAATACTTTCAATCATCGATCTATAAACAATGGTTAGGACCCTCCTATCGATGCTAAAATTTCTTAGTTTCCTGAGTAGACCTAAACGCTGTATTGCTTTCTTGTGTATATGGTCCACATTTTCCTGGAATGAGAGTTTGTCATTAATGATTGTACCTAAATATAAAAAATTTGAAACTTGCTCTACCTTTACACCTTTTATAGTAATTTGTTCATATGAGACGCCAGCCGTACCGATCCTATTTTTGTTCCCACAGCATAGTTCCTTTTGTCTTCTCAATGTTCAATTGTAAGTGACTAAGACTTTCAATATACTCAAAATAAGTTAAACTCTTCATGTCCAATTGGCAAGAGATTAAAACCAAATCATCAATGTATTTGATCAGGGTGAGATCATCACTGTTACATTGAAGTTCATTAATATAGACAGAAAAAAGCAGAGGTGATAACACATCCCTGTGGTAACCCTGAATTCAGGACTGTATAATCAGATGAGATTCCATTGACACAAACTCGTTGGGGTCTATTTCTTAAAACATTTTAAATCCATAAAAATCAACTAACTGCTTACACCTAAATCTTTCAATCTTTCTTTTAAAATGTTCAGTTGTATAGTATTAAAGGCTGATGTAAAATCCATAAAAAGAATTCTGACATGAGCATTTGTTTTGTCTAGGTGGTGTTGGGCCTTATGTAAGGTCAGAGGCATCCACCGTGCTTGTAAGCAAATTGTAATGGATCTACAAAGCCTTTAATTTGTGACATCAATTCTTTACATAATATACACTCCATGCACTTGCACAGAATACAGTGGTGTGAAAAAGCTTTTGCCCCCTTCCTGTTTTTTTAATTGTTTGCGTATTTGTCACACTTAAAAGATTCAGATCATCAAACACATT